AGGTTTAAGCTATTTTTTAGTGCCCAATAGATGGTTGTCTAGCTACTCCTCTGCACTTAATCTAGTCAGCTGGTGGTAGTTGCGTTTTTTTCCCTGGTCTTGCGTGAGTTTATTTCAGGGTAGTAGGGATTCTGGATACCATCAGTTTTCACATTATCAAGTCAGAGATCAGTTAGTTGCAATGTGAGAAATCCCAGTGCTAGTGCGAAAATTTCAGAACTAAGAAAGTAAATTAATGAATTAATTAAGTGGTAGCGAAGATTGTGCGAGAGGACTAAGGTGTCAACGGGGGGAGGAAACAAAGATAACAAGCGAGTTAGAGTAAGCTAGTGATCCGAGGAAATGACAGTAATAACATCTAGCAAGTTTCGAGACATGCTTCAAGTGGAGCTGATTCAAGAGGTAGATGAGCACGTGTTTATCAAGTCTATTCTTGAAACTACCCACTGAGGTGGTTGTGGTCACCTCGGCTTCAAATGATGGTGAAGGTAGCAGGAGCCTTTCCTTAACGAGTTTCCATATTCAGAAGCAGTGGATCTCCGATGCTTCCTGATAAGGTCGTAAGTACACAAAAATTTATTAGATAATTACTAATAAATCAGTACAAAATACTCTCCTAATCCCTTAAGAATGTATCCAGTTTCCGCTTGAATAGCTCATAATGAATTGCTTGGAACGATCCATCCATCAGCGATTTTCAAGACACAACTGGATGTGAATAGTACAAAGTATTCTTACAGTTAAATTTACAGTGCTACAACCGACCGCAGACGCCACCTACCTGAGCGTAGCTTCTATCGTGAAGTGTTGGCCGGACTTGCCTATCGTGACGACCCAACCGAGCCATATTGGCTGGAACATATGTCCTTGCAGGTTCTGCCATGCCAGACAGGTCGACTGGAGAACGGTAAGATTAAAAGCAGTAACTGAAGGTCTGATGGCGAAGTCGTACTGTTGACTGTAGAAAGGTGTGACGGCAGTGAGATATTCCCCTCAGACAGCCAGCATTTGCGTCGATGCTGCCGAAGTGGTATCCGCTTTCATACTCGTAACACCACACGAGAGCGAACCCGTCGCAACCGAACCCATCCCACACCTATTAATAATTCTCTTGTCTCCACGACTAACCCATCTCGTATACCTTAATCACCTAGTGCCTTCGATGCAAATGACTTGAGTACGCGAAAAGTTATTCCTGGTCTCCTGAAACACGCTGGAGCTTTTAACGTCCGGAGCTGGTGCCGAATATTACAACAGGATTTTTTAACTAGGACTCTAGAATCTCGTGCTATCGATGTATGCTGCGTCTCCAAAACGCGCACAACAGGATCGGAGTGCAATAATTCATTTGACCTCATCTTGTCAAGGTATAGAGCCATCGCAATTTACACTTTGTGTATCTGAAAGCCGCACTGCTGCTTCTCGTGGCCTTGTTGGTGTAGGTATTTTTACTGGGCTCTAAGGCTTTCTTAGACTAGACCTCAGTAGGTAGTCGCTTATGTGCTGTCCGACTAAACGAGACAGTAAAGTCTCAAAAAGAGGGACACTCGTCGATGCTTATTTGTTGTTGTGATTAGGTCAGTATACGCATGGCGAGAACTAGAGTAGTCTAAACCAAACTGGCCCACCTCTGGTGTCTTCGTGATGTTAGTTTGGCTGTAAAAGGTCGGACCGGCAAAATATGAACGAGTACGGTTTTAGTATATCTTTGTGAAACCTACCCTCTCCGACTTGACATGAAACAACTCTGTATTTTATCGTCGTGTTCTCCATTGGATTTTGACATTCAGTGGCAACATGATATCAGTGATGCCGAGGGGTGTGCTTGAACACATTGACGATTAGTCAGGTCATATCACCCGCTTGAAACAGGCTCCAATGGCTCGAATATGTGCTACAAACACTGTCCCAGCGAATGCTATATCGTGCATTATTTTATGAGGTTGGAAAAGGCAGAGGGTGGGATGGAAGGTAGTGTACGACTGGCTCCTGACACCAAACAAGAGCTTGTGAAGAGCAGACTCGAGGAAGCCAGGTTGGTTTCCGACCTGGACGTGGCTGTATATACCAGATATTCACACTCCAACAGGTCCTAGAACACCGACACACATTTCGCATCCAATAATAGTTGCATTCCTCGATCTTAAGATGGCGTCTGACGCTGTTTATCAAGAGGTTAAATTGTAATTCGCCTTTTAGACCATACTTATCAGTAGCTAATTAGTCTAATTCAAATAAGAAAATTTTTCAAAGGGTTCGAAACTACTGGTTATTTTGGTTGGATAGTTCATTTTACATTCCAGAGAAAAATTTTCTCAACTCTAGTTTGCTGTATTGATAATTAGGTACATAAACTTAAATAAAATCATCCACATAGCACTAATAGCCTTGTCTCTTTACTCTTTGAGTAAAATTAACTAACCATGTGCACTTATATTTACAACGTAAATAAAAAAACTTAATTATCGATCTGTTAAATATGAATATTATGACCTTCTATTTATATACATATCAATTATTCATATGATTTATATTTGTTAACAAACAAAAGCACACTGTCAACAACAATCTGTATTGCTTAATGCACTTTAACAAATACAAAATATATTAAAATAAAAAAAGAGAATAGGGTCATTATGTTCACAGTCAATAATAAAATTGTTACCATAATCAATAATTCAAGAAAAGTTTACATTGTATTTTATTTTTTAGAAGAAAATTAATTATACAAAACCGACAATTTCATGTTGATTTATCTTTTTCAATAAATCTGAAAGTATAAGAAATTAATCATATTAAAGTTGGTAGACCAAATTTCTGATTGGAATTTTTATTTTCAGTGTAAAATACTATATAATGATTATTATGAATACATTTTTTATACAAATTCAGGCATAGTTTATATGTGAGATGTTTTTCTCGTGATGGTTAACACATGATTTCGGATGGCGTACATCTTAATATTTTTGCGTTATAAATATATTTAAGATAATATGCGATAAGATAATATGTGATCAGATCACACACATAGACAGTAAACCACATAGTGACCATCAGATCAAACTGAAAACAATGAGCACTAAATAAAATGAAAATTTTCTCTTTTTAAGCAAATAATTCATGCTGCTCGAGTTTTACACATTCGTATAATGAGTTGGTGATATTTTACAACAGCCAAATAATGATGTTTATAATTTTGTACAGATCTTTGGAGAATATTTGTTTTGCATGAGAATTTGATGGAAAAGCGGTACTTTCATGATAGTCAGAATCGATTGTTTGGTTTAAACTGTCATAACATCAATGATATTTATATTTAAGCTATTTCTGACAGTAACAGCAGGATACAAACTAACTGATGAGGCTAATTCTTTTACGATATAAAGAAGTTGGTGTCTCAGGGTTTATATATCAGATAACCTTATCCTTCGACTGCTTGTAATCATTTACTTCCAGATAACTGATATGAAGTTAAATCATAGATCTGCCTAACCGTTCCACTGTGTCAAAAACACTGAGAGTTTACGCGATTCAAACACACATACACATTGGGGAATGACAATACTAATTATGATGGATGAATTATTTAGCTTCGAGTTTTGCACAAAATCGTATAGATACTTGCAGTTTCACACTAACGGCTAACTTGATTTAAGCAACCACTGAAAACAAAGAAGCTAGGGATAAATGTCTCGTCTTAATGCAGGACTCATAGGGAGTATGCAGCTATCACTCACACACACCCATGTAGGGCGTTAGAATAATATCACCAGTGAGAATGGATGATGGTTTTGCAATATCTCCAACTAGAAATGTAAACTGAGAGGTAAGATTCAGTGATCTGAATGTTAAGCTATTGTCCCTAACCTTGCAGGTTGTGCGCTTGAACCTCAGATAGGTGGTGAATACACTGCTAATGAGTTCCATACTTGGTGCGTTCAGGTCTCCAAATAAAGATAGAGATAAAACCGAATTTCGAAAAGAAAACGACTTTCATGCTCTTAACTGTTCGACTTTCAGTTTGAAAAATGCCCCGAGAGCATTTTAACATCAAAAAATACCGGAGGTATTCGGGTTGCTTTTTTCTATGCCATATTTCGGGCAGTGACGTAGTTGAAATTAAACATAGTTAGCATGCATACATGTCATACAACAGAAAACTCCTTGCAAATTATATCGCCAAAATATTTTAGCCTATTAGTTTTCATATCACTGATCATGTAACTAGACGGCGTTTATTCCAAGAAGCATTAGGAGAAAATAATTGTAACAGCGGTTCTGGGCCAAATGAAAAATACATGGATCTGAAAATGTTACGTAGTATCAATAATGCGGTGACAAAAAGATGCTTTCGTATATGTGCGAGGAACTCGTTACTCCAAGATTCAATGACATACTTCTACACCTAGAAATGACTCTTGATCAGCAAAGAAAAAAGCCAGAAATAACCCTACGTTAGAAGATTGCATTACAAAAATTGAAAAGCTCGTGAATGTTTATCTGAATACTTGAAAACCAAGATATAAGAATATTTTTATCTAGTCATATGCAAATATGCTCGCAATATATTACACAGTTAAACCGAAACTTTCTGCCAACTGTAAATAAATTAACTATCTGGACACAAACATCTACATGCAAGTTATCAGTCAACTAATGAAATTCATTATTGAGTATGCTTTGACTTCTGTACGAGGATGGATTAAATAGTGTGCAGAGCGGAAATTTAAATTCAGCTCTGCTAATGAGTTCCATACATGGGAAAAAAATCTGTCGAGAGAGACTACGGGTTTTTATTGGTTGTCCTACTAAAGCCAGTTTATGATACATAACTTAAAATCCCAGTCCCCTCTATGCCAACAGTTGTATTAATTTTATTCATCCGTATAAAATATGATTATTTTGTGGTACATAAATGGAGACTGATGAAATACTTAATGAACATCAGCTCCATCATTTGTCATCTGATAACTTGGTCAGTTATACTATCCAGGCAGATTAATATACTGAACACTCCAATGCACATTGACATAATCAGTTAGTAGTATTATCTAGGAGTTGCTTAGTGTAAATGTGGGAATAAACTGATATTTCGATCAATTCAATTATCACTGTTGGCAGTAAAAATCAATAGGAGACAGTGGATTGAGAGTGTACAAGAAAAATCAGGTTAAAATACATTGTAATTGTCAATTCAGCTTGCATCACTTGTCTGCAAATCTGGTTCTCTCTTGTGTATTATGTTTATATTACTTACTGCTAATGAGTAACATATGTTATTACCAATCATTTTTGAGCAAAGAAGGCTTGGTATGCCCTTGGTGTTGAACTATATTTACAGGTTTCTTATATAAACTTGAGACATTTAATCTACTTATTAATATATTTTTATATTCCTAACATTTTCGACAGTGACTTTGATTTCTTGTATATTAATTAGATATTTGTTTACACACAACAGTCTCAGTTTTTTCTGTGCTTGGTACTCGTCTCGATTGTTAGTTGTCACTGTGGTACAGATACAGCTACTTGTTGGCACATATGAAATCGTATGTGCAGGTAAATAATTTCAACATAGCTATTCCAAGAACTAAATCGCTGATCGCAAAAGTATCACTTAATCGTTTTGTCAAAAGCACTAAGATAAGTTAACAGTAATATTTACAATTAAACACGCATTAAGAACAGTTATGTTACACTAACTTGACTCACTATTCTGGAAGTGGTCAAATAGGTACTTCAAGTTATACAACGCATGAGCTTCTGGTGTTAAATACAAATTAAATCTTGAACCCAAAGAGAAGATATTACGCTTTAGTATACACATTGCCAGGCTGTAAAAATAAAGATTGCATCAAAACGAAATGCTTGAATACATAATTGAATATACTCAGTTTTTTCTACATATTAATTAAAAGTATGAAGTTGGATTCTGTACGCAGGTGGACAGTGTTGAACAACATTACAATAGTAATTGGACAGTAAAGCTTCATTGTCTTCCTGGAACTGATAAAATCAGTGGGTTACAGCGGCAGCTACTGAACTGACAAATGCTCAGTAATTCAACCCGTCTGAGTGGTCCATTTTCAACAGTTGGGTTGACTGAGATTTTAGATGGGATCTACCAACTGGACGTATTCACATACGACTGGTCTCAATCACTGATTGTCACAGTGTATAAGAAAGGACAAAATTCCTCCAGTTATAATCACAGACGAGTCAGGCTGACTAATATACTGTCTGACATGTTGGCTTCCATAATACTACGACGCCTCACTAGAAATCGTGAAGAGCAGACTAGAGGAAACCAGGCTGCTTTCCGACCTGGACGTGGTTGTAGAGAACAGATATTCGCAATTCATCAGGTCCTAGAACATAGACACACATTCCGACATCCTATAATAGTAGTATTCCTCGACATTAAGATGGCGTTCGACTCTGTCGATTGTGAGGTATTGTGGTAGTGAATTTCAGTGAAGGATGTAGCCATGGAGTACATCAACCTTGTACAGGCTCCCTACTAGCAAACCACTAGTCGAGTGGGAGCTTATGGCGAACCGTCATCGGAATTACTCATTTCAAGTGGTGTTTGTCACAGCTGTCCACTTTCTCCATTCTTCTCTTACTTTGTAATCAACATGCTTTTAGAGTACCCTGTTTAGTCGTCTGACTTCTAAGGGTTGGACCTTCTACTAGAAGATTCACAATACACAGATGATATGGTTTTGTCTGTTGAAGACACTGACAAGATGCAGTCTTCTGACCGACCACCTTAAACGACGATATAAGCATGTTTGGGATGCGAGTCTCTCCCTCCAGATGCGAAATATTGCTTCACGATTGGCTCGTGTCGTCACCTGAACCAGTGATGAGAGGTGAAGTATTTGAGTGTGTATACCGCCTCACAAATCTCGGGAGTCACACCAGTACTGATGGACTGGTAACTGACGGAGTCCCAGCACGGATACAGAAGCCTCGATTGGCTTTCGCCAACTTGCGTCACTTATGGTGTAGGCGAGATATCCGTCCGCTAACCAAAGGACGAGTTCACTACTCAGATGTCCGTCCCTTTCTATTATACAGGCCTGAAACATAGCCATTAAGATTAGAGGATATTCGCAGGTTACTAGTAATTGATCATAGGTGTCTTCGAAGCAATGCTCATACATCCTGGGACCATCGCAACGAAAAAGATACTAGGTAACAATGCCAGATCAGTTGATGAAGTAGAGAACGTTCATCAGTTGAGGTGGTTGGGACATGTGTTACGAATGCCCAACCACCCACTGCCTCAACCAGCAATGTTGTCTGATGTAGAGGTATGCTAGAAGAAATCCTGGGGTTGGCCAAACCAAAACATGGCACAAATCCTTGAGGACACTGAGAAATGGACTATGTCATGTTGGCAGGTGTAGGCTACCCAGTTGAGATCCGCGAGACTATCGTGACTGCCGGTTAGAGACTTCCAATGACATCGTTCAAAATCATTCGCAGTGGCGCAGGTGCATCCACTCTTTGTCTTCTCTCGGATTGTAATCTTCTGAATTCTTCACCACCTTTCTTTTTTTTAAATTCATTTCTCTGGAAAAAACTTCTCGAATCATATCTTCGAACCTTAATCTTTTCCATTACTGCGAATACTTCTACTACCTCTGTTACTACTGATTTTGAATTGACAATTCCACCCCTGTGTGTTAACGTAGCTTGGCAACTTTGACTTATGTACGTACGTGCAAAGTTGTACGTTATGGCTTAAAGATTGAATAATATTTCGAACTTTGAAAGTGAGTGACGTTTATTTCGATCCCATAAGAGGCATTAATTTCTCCAAGATTGGTGATCTGTTTTTTTAAAGAAGTTTCACCGTGGAAAAGAGCTAGTCACTTTGTTTTTTGTCCATTTGTTTCAAGCAACTAGCTTCTCCAAATAACCGATATTTGATGAAAGTTTATCTGATTACTTACATAACAGGTAATTTTTTTCTGAATACTTCATGTATACTGTCTTTTAGCATAAAAACATTTTGTGGTTAAAAATAATTTCAAAACTTACCAACGATCTGACTGAGAAATATCACGAGTACAAATATCCACTAATTTTAATTTAGGATAAATTTCAAGAAAATCTTTAGGATAAATTATTGGCTGGTCAAGAATTGCACTAATCAAAGTAAACAAGTGTGCAATGTAAGCAAAGCATATAGGCGATGGAAATGTGTCAATTCCATAGTTTGTGTAATTAATTGTATAATGATTATTATCATTATTATTATCGGACAATTCTATTGCATCTAATGGGACTGGAAAATTCTCATTCATATAAATGTAATCATCACAACATTTGTCATTATTGGATTCATTATTTTTCATTGTTGATGAATTCTGGAATAAAATAGAAGACAAATTAAAAACGAACTGATCAAATCATTCTGTTTATTGATTTAATAAATATCAAACAAACAACAGTTTATTTCAACGGAATACTAAATTGTAAAAAATAGACAACACAATACTGATCTTCCAATGTATACTGATGTTAAGATTTGACAATAGCTAACTAATATATATATATATATATATATATATATATATATATTATATTCATTAGAAATCGGATATTTATAGTTGATGTTTATGCTTCTAATACTTATTATTTGTTTGTAAATATCATGTGGAATGTATCCGAAAAGAAAATTATTTGGTATAGTTTCTTGTCAGAAAAGAAGGACCAAAAAATCTTTTACCGGTGAATACCGCTAGTAGGTACAGTAATATTCTAAATAGATAAGATGCTGAATAGTAAGTATGCACTTCTAATCGATTTACGGTTGAGTCAAGTTTATCTGATCCTTTTAGTAGTCACTACTCACCGATCAATCAACTGTGACTATTTTTAGTTCTTTCTACAGGAGGTCAGTCACAGTCTAAATGATTCATTGATGACATATCAGACGATGAAGCTAAAAGGCATGTGAACGAATCCCCAAGAGAGTACCAATTCTGTCAAGATTACCAGTACACTTTGCTGAATAGTGCCAAAAGGCACAAAACCTAAGTTTAGTGTGTCCTGCTGACCACCTCTAAACACCTAACAAATACATACTTAGTAATAACTATATACATAGAAATAGTGAAGATTTTATTTATATTTCTATTTATCAATAATTCAATCGACGAAATAAAGAAGCAAAATAATTTTTAAACTCAGTATTAAGTTAATCTTATTTCAATGTAATAATTTTGTGTGTAATGGACGTTAAAAGTTGTCTATGAGTAATTATCAGTGTTTGGACATAACAGATACACAAGGCTAGAAGAAATAGTAAAAAATTTTGCAACTTTTTCTACTAATTTTTTAGTGGCTTGACTGTTGTAAGCGTACTTTTAATCTTATTCAACTCCACTCACTTTAGTTCGAACCACACTCTAAATAAAACGGCTAGTTGTATTCTTTGGCTGCCCCAACAGAATTAGGTGGTTCGCAGCTGAGACTTATTGGCTGAAGATCGAATGCCCTAACCTCTAATCTACCCTTCCATCTTCGGAAGTAAAGGATGGAGAAAGTGACTTAAAAATCAAAAATTTCAACTGCAATTTATATCAGTGTATTTTCATAA